AAGTTAAAGTGCCACCCCTAGTTATCAATATTCAAAGAGATAATATAAATTTTGAACTCGAAAGAGTGACAATGTTATTTGTAATAAATTTCTATTACGAATAAAGAAGGAATATTTTTGTTTCAAAAATTGTTTCGATATCTTTATTTAATGTTTGTAATATTGAATGTGGTCAAATTTTTGTGACGTTGGTTGTTTTTCATATAACTCTATTCCAGAACATGATAGATTATAGATATTTTTTCCAACGATTGGTCATTAAACATACTACTCCGATCTTAACAGTAAATCTTTATACATATTTTCGAAATTTTAATACATTACTAACACTGAATACGTGTACCACCATGTAATTTTCTACAAGAAAAACTTGGAAACGTCCATCGTGTGATTGACAGCTAAGGTCATTTTTAATCAAATTAGTATTAGATAAAATAGACTGTGTTAGGCACAGTTACAAAATCAACACGTTCATCATGCCACCAACACTTCCTAAGATAACATTGCTGATTTCGTCTTAACGTATTTTTTTCTATCTTTAATTGAAGCTAAGTTCTCATTTTATTATCTTATTTCTTTATTTTATTAAACTTAACTCTTTTCTACTTTTTTTTTCAACATTCGAAGTTTTATCTAGCGATTTGTTCATCGAATCCACTATTTTTATAGAATTTATTTGAGAGCAAAACAATAAAAAACGTTTTATATCAGAGCCAAGCATCCAGATTAATTTACAAAGATGTAGTTTTTTGTGTGAGTATGCTGTTGATGTGGATATTGATACCTATACGAGTGCGGATGCGCTTGTCTACTCATGTATCACATCCACACTTTGTACTGGTAAGTGCAAATAAATATTGGAAATAAGTGTTGCCTCTGATGTTTAGATACGGCTGGATTCGAAACTAAACTACCGACAGAAGAATAGATGTTGTATTTATCAATTAAGATTTAGAATAGGAGCTTATGGCTTTTATAGGAACTGGAGCAAAAATCTAGTGATGAAGAAAGACTCTGGAAACAGCTATCAAAAACGAGGTGTGAATGAAAGTATACATGGACAGGTATGACGAGATCTGGCAGTAATTCACAAGATATGTAATACTATGAAATATGACCCTATATCGTAATTGATGTTGTGTACGACCGTTTATGAGTGTTGTAATTTTTGTTCTAGGTAAGATTCATACAAAAGAACTTTTCAATTTACGAGTGCAAGAAAAAACGATTTCTTTAAAAGTATTTATTATATTGTAACATTATAAGCTCGTCAATTGCAGATAGGAGATTATAAGAAAAGAGAATTGGATGAATACTTTTACAATGGATCAATTGGATTGTTGAAAGAACAGAATATATTGAGAGATATAAAGAAGCAGAACAGGTGGCAATAAAAATGACAGATGGTTGTTATCGATATTACTTGTAAATCGTATCTGGATCGAACAAAAAAATGATATATATCACAAAGCATTACTCGTGTAATGCGTAGGTTATATATACATACTCGAGCTTTTATTGGAAAAAAAAGCAATTAACAATCCTTGACGATCTATACAAGTTAGTAACGAAGAAAATAAAGCTGAGCTAAACGTTGAGTGAAGTATTTTGAGGGCGATACACAAACATGCACCAATTTTTTCTTCAGTGATGGATATATGATTTTCAAACAGGGGGACGATCATAGTCACAAAAACGTGTTTGAAGCCCATTAGAGTTTGTATTGGCTCGTTTTTTAAGGCGTTTTCTGATGAAAAAAATCGAAAAATATTGTAGAAATGAGGGACAATCTCTCACTGGTGTCTCCTCACCTATTAAAATCACCACAGTTTTCTTCTCCAATTTAACCTCTCTGAATGAATTAAGAATAATATAGAAATAATTCTAACTATAAATCATTACAAATTTTGTTAAAAATTTAACCCAATGGACATTACGGCCCGTAACATGAAAATAAATTGGCAGTCTTACTTCGATATCATCCTATCCATAACTTTTCTGCATTGTTTAAGAGACTTTTCATGTCAACGTGAAATTATTGTGTGCATCTGCGCTTATTCTCAATGTTTCTCAATTATTTATTTTTTTTTTGAGCATGATATTACGATATGTTTGTCTATATGCTAGCAGATATTTATTTCATAAAAAGGTACTTTGCTAAAAAAAGACGAATGCAAATATTCATTTAACATTTTTTGCTTAACAATATTATGTTTTTCAATAGAAGAACGCTAAAAGTACGTTTAATGCATGGCAAATAAATGCCTTCCGATGCAGATAAGGGGAGGTATTGAAACAGAGTTTTAGATAGTGTTGATTGGAGAGATACAAAATGCCTTCTCTCATAAACACGTTCAAATGGTATTTTTAGGTGGTAGTTTCAGTTGAAAAGCGCGTAGTAAATAAAAAAATAAGATGTATTTTAAGGTAAAAAAAGGAGAGTTTTCAAAAACTTGACATTGACCAGTTCGCCAAATTAATTGTGGATTCGGATTCCAGTAATTGGAAAGGCTTCGATTACATTATTTTGAAAGATCATTGTTCTTAGAAAATAAGCTTCCCCTTGACTGAATAAGTCAGGTCCAGAAATTTTCTGCCATCAGGAAACGGTAACTGCCCTACTTTATTCATTGTTTGGCCGCTTCTCTTTTATCTCATATAGTTTTTCTCATAAACGTGAAACGAAGCATAAGTTATGCGCAGTTCGAAAGGAAAAAATGTTTCCTACAGTCTCATACAAAATTCTTGTTGTAACATGCGTATATCAAAGTGATATAGTGATCAATGTCAACATAACTACTCTTGCTTCATATGTCATTAGTAGAAAATTTCAGGAATAAGTCTAACAGTATAGAAAAATCCTTGTTTCTATTCTATACCATGTTGAAGCTCAAACATTTTTCTTCTAGAATCTACCAGCGACTTGAAATAGTTTAGAAAAGATTGCGGGAGTATATAAAGCAAACAATAGCATTTTTGTGTCATTCCATTACATAGAAATACAGTCGATCGATCATGTCGAGTTATAGGCTATTTTTAATGGAAAGAGAAAAAAGGGACGAACTGCTTTTCTCTCAAGAATAGTAATCGATATTGTTGTGTAAAAGTGGCAAAAGTTTTACAAGTGGCCACCAGCTAAAATAGCTGGATCAACCCGAATTACCTCATCTAGATTGGCTTACTGCGTTGTATTGCCCCAAGTAGAGTAATCCAAATTAGTTGTAATCAAAAAAGTCACCTTTTTATAGTGTAAAAGAAATGAGAACGAACAAACACAAAAATTGCTTTTTTTAAAATTTTTGATTCAGATTACCCCAGAGGATTTTGTGTTCGTTCTCTCGTTGAATTATTGTGAAAACGATATTTGCCATTAATCTGTATCGATGTCTAAAGAGATGTTTTCTTCTTACTGTTCATGGGATCTCATTGAGATAAATTTTTCTTGACCGGTGTTAATGAGAGATGCTTCCACAGACATGTTACAATCAAGAAAAAGAACTGTTGGAATTAAATAAGAAAGAAACATATTCACATGAATAGAATGCTGACTAGAGATACTGAGCTACTTCGATTTGAATCAACTGAAGACTCTACTAAAGCTGAAAGAAAAATGAACAGAAAATGATATATCCACGAGAAACTCAACAATAGGTCGATTAAGTTAGTTTACTGATTTTGTTTGTGTCGATTCGTGTGAACTAGATTTGTTGACACTTTCGATGTTCTTCTGAACATATCGACGAGTTTGACTTTCGTATTTTGATGTTCGAATAATTGAAAAGACTTATGTCAGTTCTCTGATGCTCTAAATACACATTGATAGAAAGAGTTAAAATCGAAAGTCGATTTTCGAAGATTAGTCTTCAATCGAAAAATAGAAGTTTCAAATGGATAAATTTTCGGACAATATCGAACAATCAAATGAGAGTCTTTTTTTAATGTTAATTTCCCATGATAATTGAAAAAGAAGCGATTTGATTTGACATTGAAATGGGAAAAGATTTCCTCATCACAAATGAGTTTGAGCAAGCCAAACTACTTTTTTCAATTGGATTCCTCGGTTGAAAACAGCATACCGTGTCACATTGAAGAACGAGAAATTTCACTTAAACAAATGTGAAAACGATTCGTTGAGAGTAGCACGTGATACATCTCTCAATTAGTTGCAATAATTGGATCTCGATGATAATTTCTTGTTATAATGGTTACAGGTGTATGTAGGTGGTTGAAGACAAAAACGTTGTTTTTTCGCCCACCCACTCACTCCCACTAAATAACTTATCTTTTATTTGCTTGCGCTACTGTTGGATACCTGCTAATAGTAATGGTTTTAACATTCTATAAATTTGTTCTTAACGAGCAAAATGTACACAGATGTTTTAGAGTGCTATACATTAAGATGCTGACAGTAATTTGAGCATGATGATAAGACTAAATGACACTAACAAACACACATCCACAACCATCAGTACTATCATCCTCATCTGCTTGTAGTCAAATTAACAGAATTTGCGTTTCAACGTTGGTCACGTTCCAACGTCAATATACCGACAGCATGTTTGTATCTTATTTTGAACTATCACATTATTGTCTATTTTGAGAATTTCTTCGTTTTAGAAACTTATTTGTTTTATGTAGAGTGATCTTTGTTATCAATCCCTAATTACTGCATTCAGAACGCAACAGCATACGGCATATATTAAATAAACGATATTGTCTGGCAGATGTCATCGATAGTTTATCGAATAAAGTCAATTAAAAAATACAAGAAGTTATTATGTTGTGTAATATTATGTATTTCATTCATATTTTTGGGTCTCATAGCAAAATTGAATGGTATTACAATTACATTATGGGGCGCTTCGTTCGAAAACGATTTGGCATATCTGAAGTCTGTTCATATATCCATTTTTAAAGGATTCATAAAAAATCATCATGTAAATGGAAGATGTGTTGTCGTCGTTCGAAAGAACAAAGGTCGGTTAGGAAATAAGATGTTCATGTATTCAACTGCGTACAGTATTGCACGGAAACGTACTTGCTGTATGCATTATTATGATGAAGATTTAGATGAACTGCGCCGAATATTTTTGTTAAATCGATCAAATGTATGTCTTATTTCGGATGAAAATTTTGCAAAATTAACAAATATCCCACGCATCAATAATGGAGGTTGCACATTTTATTTGGATTTAATGGATAATGCTTTCAATAAGTCTATTGAATTGACCGGTTATTGGCAAAGTTATCGTTATTTTATTGATTATGAACAAGAAATTCGTGAACAGTTTGTATTTAATGCTAACATTTTATCGAGAGCGATATCGTATTTACTCCGTCAAAATCCTCACAATCGTACACTTATTGGTATCCATATTCGTCGTGGTGATTTTCTTTCGTTTAGACATTCCGTAATCGGTGGAGTAGTAGCATCATCTATTGAATATATTCATAGCGGATTGAACTATTTCATTGAAAAATACTCGAATCCGCTTTTCATTGTTGTTAGCGATGATAAATTGTGGTGTAAGGAAACTTTAGGATTAAGAAATGATGTGATCATCACACCATCTAACTTTTCATCAGCTGATGATTTGGCTGTATTGACATTATGTAATCATAATCTTATCACTACGGGTACCTATAGTTGGTGGGCTGGCTTTTTTTCTAAAGGTGAAGTAATCTACGACAAAAGTTATCCAAAGCAAAATAGCTTGCTTGCATGGAATTGTCAACAGAATGATTATATCCCACCATCGTTCAAGTCTCTAACATAGAGCCTAATTTCGAGACAATCTATGCTCACAAGATAAGTTCAATATGGAAGATTTGGTAAGAGCAGTATGACAGAGTCAAAAGTACTAAATTTTGTTGTTTTTTGTGTGCTTCTGCATTTTTGCAGAAATTTTCGGTGATTTCTCATTAAAAAATTTCAAATCATGTTCAATTACCACAATAGAAAGCTCATTTGCAGTAAATAAGAACAAGATCGGATCTTCTTGTGCAGAAAAGTTGCTTCTAATCAAAATCACTATCGTCGAAATTTTTCGAATTCATTAAACAAGAAGACATGCATCACGTATATTTTTTCAAGAGCTAATATGATTCTATTTAATTGTATGATTACTCTAGTCTGTAATTAAATATGATTATTACATAAGTATTGCAATATTTTGCAAAAACAATTAGTTGAAAACTTTTTTTCTGCTATATTCATTGTTTTTGGTGATCCGGCTCAACTTAAGACTTTATCCATCATAGAAATCAAGTCAAAACATCAATATGCATCATTTCGCACAAGAAAAGCTTGATTAGTTCGATATCGATCGATAAATGTAATTTCTTATACAAGAGTTCTTACTGGTACAAATGATCTGATTCTATTATCATCTGAACAAGAAATTCCTTGAATACGTCTAATTTCAATTACTTTTCCTATTGAAAGTCTTTCGAATATAATTGGAGAGAATAAATGCGAGCAACAATTGGTGAATGATCTCAAAAGAATAGTTTCGTAGTGGCTAGAAGAGGGAATGTAACACGTGAACATCACATTAAATCCAAAATTAAATGCATTTCTGAATGAATATATGATACTTTTAGCATTGGTTTATAAAAGTTTTGACTCGAAATCAAAATGCTAGATCAAAGACGAGAGGCTCTCGAGAGTATGACCCATTCTGAAATCAAGCGGCAACACTGTTATGTAAACCATATCTATACAAATAGTCATAATGTTGAAAGACTTGATTCACTAACTCTCTTCAGTTTTTGTTCAAGTGAAACACACTCTTTTTTTCGTATAAAATATGATTTATTATTTGTATGAACCCGATTCAAGTCAAGTCAAATCGATTGTTGACAATGAATGTTGTAGTGAAATCGTTTTCAAAAATTGAATTAATAGCTCTCAATTTTACTCATCGATTCATACGTTATCATAGCGAAAAGAGAAGCAATAATTGAAAGTGAGAATTCTTTTTTGATGTATTATGACATTAGGTTGTTTCGCTCCTAGTAGATATGAATGAATCAGGTAGGTGACTGAATCTTTGCTTCACCACACCCACCAAAAACTCAAATTTTAAATTTCTCATCGGTCATGTCGTCCATAGGATATGTATGAGAAATTCACATTATATTTATATATATAAAAGTACAGGCTTCATCAGAAAATGAATGAAACACTACTTACGCGAACTAGAGTGTGGATGTGAGTGAAATGAATAGTTGCATCTACACCCACACTCCATCTTTATTTGACATCGATTTCTCGTCTATCGGATAATATAGTTGGTAGAAATCCACAAAAAAGAAATGAAGAAGAAAAACATCTTACCAAGCAAGTTAAATATGAGAAACTTACGATGAATACAAAAAACGAAAAATATATATTTTTTTTTAGATGGAATCTTTCACTATTCTGTGAAACACGACCTAAAAGGAGTGTTGAAGTATATAGAGGTAGAAATTTGGACCCTTCCCCCCCCCCAAATCCCCTCACAGACATCCTAGCAACGAGTCGTCATAGATGTGACAAACAGCCTTAGCAACGGTTTATCACAGACATGGCAGACATCACAGACCGTGACACACATTTTATTAATTAGTTAGTTAATAACTAATTAATACCTCATTAATTAGATATAGTGGCTATTTAATTAAGTAGTTGATTAATTAATTAACGGCTAGTTTGGGACTGATTATTCACCTCATAATTAAGAATTAGTTGATAATAGAATACCTCTCACAGACGATGACTAACACGTCTAATATGTTCATAAACATTTCGAGAAGCAATCATTGAGTATACAAGACTGTTGATATAAGATCAAAGACCACGCATCAATAACGTTTTATTATAATGTATAAAATAATTTTTGATTCCAGTTTTGAAGGAATGGGTAAAACAATATTTTAGAAATGTGCTCCGAAATAGATAAATTTAAAAGAATTCCCTGCAATTAAGAAAAGCAGCTAGATCGTGTTTCACATTTTAATCCCGCAGGAATTACGCTAACAGCTTTTGATGTATAAATGATTACGGTTTTCTTAATAAAGTATATGAATAAAGGTTTAGGAACTTCAGCTTCATTTTTGTAATTAATACTCAATAAAAGTAGTTAAAAATACTTTATTGCAAATCTTATTCTAAACATTTCAATCATTATTTCGATGATTCCGGTTTATGGTATTAAGCTATTCCAATGCTGACAAAATAATTGCTATCAATAACCGGAACAGTCACTACGTTTAATATAACAATAAATGAATTAGAGTGAATTAATAATATCTTGTGCAAATCTTTGTCCAGCTTCAATAGCTCCTTCAATATAACCAATCCATTGTAAAGCCATTTCAGTACTTGCTAACCAAATTTTTCCATCAATTAACGCTTTTTTTCGATTTCTCCATGTTGAACAGGAACTAGGAGGATAAAGAGCAGCATAACAACCTCTACTTAAACTTTCTTTAGGCCAATATTGTATAAATGTATGTATTGGTTTTTCATTTGTATTAAAAAGCAATGCATATTGTTCAGTAATAGCTTCAATAAGTTTATTTTCATCTTGATGAGTCCAAAATGAAGCATGATCACCTAGTATTAATCCAATAAGAGCTATTGGATTAGCTGATTCAAATATATTTGAACAAGGGCCTTGTTTTTCACATTGATTTACTTGACTATGTCTCCAAAATGGTATTGAATAAATAAATATTGTTTTAATACATTGTCCCATTGTTATAGGACAATAACAATTTGATGGCAGTTTGGGAAAAAATTCAATAGTTGAAAGTAATGATGGAGAAAATGCAAGAAGAAGACGACGACATTTTATTTGTCGATTAGAATTTAAAGTTAATAATATTTGATCGTTAGTTTGATAATCAACAGATTTAAGAGGGTCATTAAGACGAACATTTTCATTAAGAGAAAGTTTAAAACAAACATGTTGACTACCAGCACATATTTTATAATGTTGTGCGCCATTTATACCATCATCAAGTGCTTTTAATCCATCGGGAATCGAACGAATTAATATTAACCAATATAATAAAGATACTTTTTCAGCATCACATGCTTTTTAATAAAATATATATTTTTTAAATTAAAAACAAAATAAAATAGGCAGGGTTGACCAAAAGTTCTGATCCCGATGTTTAAAGGATCCCGTCTGATATGGTGACCTGTTCAGAAATGATAAGCAAACATACGATGTTGTAAACCTTTTTGAGATGCGTGAAATGATATATAGTACATTTTGTTTTCATAAAACTTTGAAGAAATCAGAGTCAACTTATTGATAGACGACTACACACTCTCACTGCATCCAGCACCCTCAATTTCCTCGTATCAAAGACAAGATGATCGGAGATGCTACGAATATGTGGTTGGAGCTCGTCAAAAACTCTACAATATCGTATGTGGAGAAAAAATGCTTTACAAATACTTCTGATTGATACAAAGATCACACTATTCAGTAACTTATCACGTTTGGATGTCGGTATGTAACCATATATCAGTAAATGAACTCTAGTTTCTTCAAAGTACATAGTGTAGTCAAAAGGTTCTTGCAACAGCAGTCTAAAATTTCACCCTCATTGGTTTTATTCCTCATGTTGGCCTATTCTGGTAGCGACATCTATTATGTATTAAAATACCAATACAAAATTTCACAAGTGTCTATTATGGAAAATTTTTATTGAATTTTTTGAATATCTCTGTTTTCACATGGATAAGTTGTGTTTACGCTCATATATAAAAACTCGTTGGTTCTTAAGTTTAACTACTATACAAATTCGTGATGAATTAACTACTGCTTATTGACAAGGTGTTGTTGCATATCGTACAGTTGCTCATTGGGTTCATCGATTTTTAAGTGGACGGAAGTCGTTACACGATGATCCTCGGAATGGTCGTTCGTTATCCGTCATGACTCAACAGAATATTGATGCGGTTCAGGGCCTGGTGAATGATGATTCACATATTAGTATTGATTATGTTACTACCATCTTAGACATAGTTATCATATAAACTATCGTGATGAGTACTTGGAGATTTTAGTCAAAAATTTACATAAGAAAAAATCATCATCAAAAACAAGTAGCATAAATTTGCATTATATAAATGCAAAATCACATATGTAAGATATTGTTCTCAATCTTAATTATTTTCAAGAGGAGAAAACCAAAGTTATGGCTCATCCACTATACTCATCTGACCTCGCTGCTTCAGACTTTTGGTTGTTCAGTTGTCTGAAACGTAGCCTTGGTACTTATCCAGATGCTACAAGTTTAGCTAAAGTGTTATCCAAGGAGCTCAATTCAATACCTATTCAAGAATACCAAAAGACATTTCAGAAGTGGATTGAAAGGATGAAACTTTGTATTGAACATCGTAGGGATTACTTCGAACATTTACTGTAAAAAGATTAGCAAAATGTTTTTTCTATGAATCAATATTTGAAAGTGCAAGAACTTATTGACTAACCAATGTATTTTGACAACAGGATATAATATACACCATTCGGCGCGTCAAAAACACTAGACAACATATTATATTTGATTTTTCAGTTCTGAATAGGTTACCATATCGGACAGAGTCTTTCAAATATCGGGATCAAAAGTTTTGGTAATCTCTAAGTAAAACAGAAAATCTAAATTACCAGTTAATGTTAATATTTGAAGTTTTAATTCTTGTTGAATTCTTATATCATTAGCTAATGGATGTTCTTCAATAAATTGTTTTACAGAAATGCCATCCCATTGAGAACTTTTTTCATATGATAAAGCATGTTCAACACTTGGTAATTCTAATGCCATTTGATCCCATTCGAAATTAATTTGAACGATTTTTTCTAGTTGATCCTCAGTCAAAGGTTTTAAACCAATTGATTGACCTAAAAGATTTGGATGAATATCATGCCATGTTTGTTCAATTAAATCAAGATTAAATTGTTTAATAAAAGATAATATCCGAAATTGGTTTGGTGCAATCCATTGTCCACCTAAATCAATAGTTGACGTTTCCTCAAGTATTTTTTGACTTAATGTTCTTCCACCAACACGAGATCGACCTTCAATAACAGTACATTGAATCGATTTCGAAGACAAATAATTAGCAGCTGAAAGACCAGCAAAACCAGCTCCAACGATAACAACATCGACTGATTCTATACTATCCATTGTTTTGTTATTCTTTGTTCTTTTTTTTGTTTTTCTTTTGTTATTTCTAGAATCAACTGACGTTATGTATATGCATACAGATGGCTACTGCTTTTTTTTTCAATCAAAAGAATCCACGTTATCTTCAAATTTTTTACGACGTCAAAGCTAGTTGGATAACCAATCCAATTATTCTGAATCATCTTGTTGAAGCTAACCGGATATCCAATGAAATCCATCGAACCCTCCCACCAATCGTGAAACCGTCATAAAATACCTCAATAAATCCACATAATACCCGACTACTATACTTAGCGATCAACTCTATAATGGAAAAATTGAAAACGATAAACCAAATTCACCCCCCAAAATGAATGCCGTAATGTACGAAAACTGCAGGACTATACCCATAAAATTTATTTAGGCGAACGTTACTGATCGTAATAGGACATGTCCATTTTTCAGAAAACTACGCCCTATGATACCAAAAGAAACCTGTACTGCTGAAATGAGAAACCACACACTCACTCAAAATATTTCTCCTAATTTTTAAAAGGCTGAAATTGATACACCAAATCAACTTTGTCAGCAAAATGCTGCTAGCATCCAAAAACGATTTCTCTGAAACTCCCAAAAAGTTCAAAAACATATCCGTATTAGTGATACCAACATAATCACAAAAAGTATTTTCTCAGTTTCAAATAGCTACAATGAATACAGATGAATGGGTTGCTACGTAAAATGATATTGATATCCGAATACAACCAGATTAAAATAGATATATTGGTATGACTAATACTAACATCACAAGTAAAAATATTTCTGCTAACTTCTAAAGGCCAACAGTCGACATAGCTAGTTCAGTTGTTGAGAGAAATGATATGAACATCGAAATACAACCCGTCTGACACTTACAGAAATTCATATATGTATTGATATTAGTCATACCAACATCATCCGGAAAAAAATTTCTGCTAACTTTTAAATATTAGTAATATTTACACCTATTTGAGTTGTTATGGGAATGTTTCTATCACTTCAAAACATTCAAACTGCCTGTCTAAAAATTTCATACATCTAGCAGTATGCTATAGAGAAAATTTTGCATCAAGGATGTTCGTGCCGACTTGGTTATGACTCTAGTAGACGGTACGAGTCTATATATTCTGCGAAATGATATGCACACGTGGATAAATTATTTGTGAAGCATTCTTTATTGCAGAAAGTATAGGAGTTCATACATTAGGTCGTCAGAGACAAGTTTTTAGGGCTTGGCAAAACTAATGTATAGATATAATAAGTCTAAGCTCTGCGAAAGTGATGAGTATGCGTTATTAGTTATGCGTTTGCCTCCCTGCAGATGCTAGAGTTTCTATGCATTGTACTATGAAAGAGTGGAGGATGTTCTTGCTCGGGTTATGCATACTCGTGCTTTAGATTTTACACGTGCTGGTATGGAATGAAATGGAATGTGTGCAAACGTTAGTAAATTTCGAAAGGAGAACTTCTGTTGAAGTATATGAACGTGTTTCAGATATTATAATTTGTTCTTTGATTTGTTCCGTTTTGTTTTGCTGGAAATTCGCCTGTCTATCCACGATTAGTATATCGATGGAGCAGTTGATAGGAAAGAAAACTTTTTTTATTCTCAAAAGGAGTTATAAGTAAATCTTTTTTGTAATATCAACGACAAAATAAAAACCAGTGATGTGAGTGATGAATAGTAATTAATACAATATTATTTTTAAATCATTCTTTATCTACTATTTCAGATGTTGTTTGGAATCTACGACGACAGCATTTGGCAAATGCGATCGAATCAAAAGGAAGGATACCATCCGATAGAATCGTTGTTAATTGTATATGTGCATCCAATAACTGATCATTCAGTTCATATGTAGGTTCAGTTAAATTATAAATATCAGTAGACTTCAATCGGCATGGACCGATCTTTAAAAGTTCAATGAAATTAGCCATGTATGTGTTAAAGGCTTCAACAAATATCAAGGAATGGAAGTTCGATTTCGCTGTTGATTTATCCGTATCGAGTATGCTTGGTGTATGTTCTGGATTCAACTCCACAGTATCATTAGTTTTATGACAAAGTACAATATTAGTCTCTGATGATATTACAAAGTCATTGAATTGATAGCTTTTAAGGGGCTCACACACTTTTAGATCATTGTTGTATACTAGTATTGATTGTTTTGCACCAATTTGACAAGTAAAGTTCGTTTATCTTTAGCAAGGACGATAAAACAACATAAATCATATGTAAAACAGCTTTGTATTAAATCACACTCGATGTGAACTTGTTCCTGAACATTTTTCATAGATTTGTCAGTTGTTGATGTATTTATAGAATTCTTGATCGACTTAATTGTTAAAATAACAAAAACAAAATGAGATATTTGAAGAATAGAATACCGTGCAGTTGCTTTATAAGTATACCCTTCACATTGTTTCTTGCATGGAATTTTTAGAACAAGCTTTATTTGAAGGAATGTGTCCTCAAGAGAAATTTCGGCGTTTTTTGATAAGTGTTTGTCACCTAAAGTAAAATACAGTCTTTACTAAATATTTTATTTACTATGAGCAAAATGAGACATTATATTATTAAAAATATTGTGAAATAAACGTGAAGACTCACTCTCTTTACATTGTAAACATATGTAAACTGCACCATAACTTCAGGAGAGTAATTTAGTGTCATGAGCAATGTCTTCAAGTGCAGCATCAAACATCATTCTGACATGTGTATTATCAAGAGAGCCAGTCAAATTAAAGTTTTTTTGCTTCAGATAAAATTTGACAAATTGTTTCAGCAAAGTTAATTTGAGTTTCTTTTTCTCGAACTTATATATAGCAACTGAAATCTAGTATTTTCGTTCAAACATCATTGATTTATCAGCTGGTCCAATTAGCGAATCATCACAGTGATAAAATCCTTCGCCATATTTTGCGAATATATAATACTGTGTGGGCTATGATCCCGGGTGTCAGTATTTATTATTACTGATTTTAATTGGTATTTAAAATATGATGGATAGCATACCAATTGTGACGAAGCAAATGCTGACATATCCAAATGGTTTCGAATAAAAAGTTCTGTTACTTTTGCATGATCTATACTACTCGTTACAAATCTGTTTGCAGCATATGACAAAAATAACACATCAGACAATTGTACAATTTCTTTGCAATATTGACGTTGATTTGATGCTTTTCTGCATATTTTACAAGTTGTTGCATCCTTATTTTTTTCGTTAAGAAAATAATTTTCTAATGTTGCAGTAGGTACTGATAATTTTTCGCAGTCAGTTGTGAGTAATGTTAACATTTGACGTTGTTCAATAACTACTATGCTTTCAACATAGTATTGCAAGCATGAAAGTAACTGATGAGAAATGATAGGGCTGTCGATAAAATTAGCAACACATTGTAAGAGAACATTTGATAGATAATCAATAACACATGACATTTCGCCCATCGATTGAATAAGGGGTATATATTCGTTTGTGTTGTAAGAATATAGTTTTGGACCGTGTTGACGGATATCTTCAATATATTTTTGTACACTAACTTTTTCTAGCGGTTTAGTTGATGATGATTTCAAAATCTCACATAAATATGTCATAGTGAATTGTTCAAATTCCGAGTAAAAATTTAAGAGAGTAATATTATCTACTTCTGTCTTAGAAGCAGATGTAACTTGATTGTTATTTGCATTCTGTGTTGTTGATATGAAAAATGGACTTTTGGATGTAGCTTCAACAAGTTAACTATGCGATAAAACCAGCTGAATGGAGAAACTTAGCCAACACAGTCGTTGTTTCGAGAGCCTTGGATGATGTTTATAATGAAGCTTATCCGTGCCTACAGAAACTTAAAAGCAGAAAAATCTTTTTAGTATTTTTTCATTACATATTTTTAATATTTTACATTAAATGAAAACAGAAAATACCTCTTAACTAAATAAAACTCAACATTGCATTAATTATCAAATTCATTTGATATTTCTTCGATTTATTTAACTAAGATATGTATTGCAGCTATGATAGGAAAAAAATGATTTAAACAGTATGTGAATTAGATAACAATTTTTTCGGATGTATGTGTATAATAGTAAATTCATTTTTTGCGCAACTATACATTTTCACAAGTGTTTTTTTTATCGTATGAGGGAGACACAGTTTTCAATAATTCGAATATTTAAGAAAAAAGGATTCTAAAAATATAAATTGTTCATGTAGATCGTGTTTCTTTTTGAGTGCAAGTTCAATAAAGTAACGAATTATAATTCTAAACAATATACGTGGTATTTATTAGAGAAGGATCCAAATTTTTATTATCTAATATTCCCCTAGAGAAAGTACTGAGTTCAGGGTACCCATGTACTGAGAAAGCTCTAGCAGGGTACCCAATATGGGTACTTTGAAAATTCTCAGTAATTTTACTGATGTATGTACTGTTTGGGGTACCCGTAAAAGTACATTTACTGAATAAGTACCTGCATGAATACCCAAGTCTGTAACTTTACTGAGGAAATCTCGACAGGGTATCCTAAATTTTTCGCGTTCTGTGTGGCGACGATTCATTCACCGTTTTCTTTTTTACGTACGGCTCTATATAAACAACTCGATAAATCATAAGAAAATAATCAATTTTCATACTAGTTTTTTCTAAATTATTTCTTGACTATTTCTTAGTCGAGGAAATGCCGAGCTTGGTCGTAAATTAAGATCGGACTACCCTGAAGTGGTCTACGACCAACTCAAGTTGAGTCGAATCCCGACATTGTTCCTGCTAAGTTTTTGGAATTGAAAAAATTAAATTGAATAAAGTAAAAAAAATCTAGTAAATTATCTCACGAAAAAGAAAAAATTTTAAAAAGTCAAAGATCAGGTTCGATCCTGAACATACTGAAAATTTGGTAACAGGGTACTTAGAAATACTATACAATGGTACCCAATTCAGTACTTGATCAGTACCTTTAGGTACCCAATTACTGTGCATTTTCC